CATATCTGTATTGTATTGTTACCCGATGTTACAGGCAGAAGCCTCAATCATCTCAACTACTAACCATCCATCTAAATTTATTTTAACTTTGTTCGCCATCTGGTAGGGCAGAAAGTTTGAGCCTGTTGGCGCAAGCCACGTCAGATACAAGTAGCTAGATTGAGAGAGAAATCTCACTTCAATAAAAAGCTAATAAAACAATGATTTTCTTGCAGTTGGCATCGTCGTCACAAGAATGCACTGCCGAGACAACACAGCCCTGAGTGGTGCGATTCTCGATCTGACAAGTTCTGACCAGTAGGTATCATGTGGTATCATTGTTTACAGCCGCCGCTGACAGTCAACATTTGCGGAAAAGGATTCAGGGCCCGTCAGGGAAGTTCACAATGTAGATCCAGCACCCATGCTAATGATGCTATAATGTTAGCGTGGGCGTCAAGGCTTTGCTTTCTCTTTAAAAGACCGATACTCCCGAATCAATACTGACAACCCGTTTGTTTCATCTTGTCTGCGCGAATCTTCAATTCTTCTGATGCCTGAGCCAGGATGACATTCGGACGCCCGAGACCATGGCGAAGGCTTTTGCTAATCCTTGGGGCCTCAGCTATTCTCTTCCTTCTTCTCAGCGATGAGAAACCACGGTGGTTAGAGACTCGTGCCCATAGCTCGTGCACTGGGTTCGACCTTGCATCAGTATCCGAAGACCTCCACTCGCGCATGAAGGCTGAAAGCGACTACACCCCGGTCGAGATCCATCAATTCGTGTGCGGCATTATCAACCATAACATGACTGCGACAGCTCACCTTGAGTGTCCCGCGACGATCAGCCAGCGTTACCATACACTGATTCCAGTCGACGGAAAGCACCCCAAAATCCAATACTTCTTTGCCCTCAACCTTTACCAAGTGATTCATATCATCCTCCCTCTGATGGGAAGCATCCTGGAGGCTATTCGATACCTGGGGCCGGAACATTGCGCTTTGTCGATAGTGGAGGGTCGGTCAACAGATGGAACATATGAGATCCTGTCTCGTTTGAAGCCGGAGCTGGATGCTATGGGGGTGCGATACTACTTCTCCCGAAGCCCGATAAATCCACTCGGGCCCGGGGAAAATCGCATCAAGGATCTGTCTGAACTTCGAAATATGGCCCTTGAACCCCTGATCACAGGAGCCAGACAGAAGGGCAGTCCCTTTGGCCACGATCCCATGATCATATTCATCAACGACATCGGCATCTGCGCGGAGGACATACTAGAGTTAGTGTACCAGCAAAAGGTGCAAGATGCGACAATGACATGCGCATTTGACTGGAGAGAGGAAGGAGTCATTCATGATGTTTGGGTATCCCGAGACCTCTCTGGAGATCTCTTCTTTGACATTTCATCTGATGGGCGGATATGGGATTCTCATAACCTTTTCTCCCATCATGGTCCCACTCGTGAACGCTTTTTTAAGCATCTTCCCTTGCAGGTCTATAGCTGCTGGGGTGGAATGGTCACTTTAGACAGTGGCCCATTCATTGATGGGCACGTGGAATTCCGGTATTCAGAGGAGGATGAGTGTTATATGGGTGAGCCTACACTGCTGGCACAAGATCTATGGCGCATGGGTCTTGGGAAGGTGCTTGCTATCCCCACTGTGAATGTTGCATATGAGTATCGCTGGTCATTGAGGGCTAAGGAGGAGAAGGGCTACGTTCATACGATATTGGAAGGGCGATATTCCCCTCATGATGAGCTCGTCCATTGGCAGAAAGAGCCACCAAAGCAGATCAAATGCATGCCAGCCTGGGACGACCAGTCCTGGGTAGACGCTGTTTAATTCCGAGCCATTTTCGTAGTGTGGATTTAATGTATTGTGATGCGCATTCACCAGTTAATAATGGGTTATTTGCTGCGGGCAGACAGGCAGAGCGAGGCAGTGCTTCCACCCGACTGTTCGGTCGCGTGTACGTGGCCTGCGATGAACCCTGCCTGGCGCACCTGCGGATAGTTATTAAAGGTATCTCGTTGATTGCAATGGCTTTTCCAGCCAATAGCTGACCGTCTGAAAGCGGGTGAATGCAGGGATAACCTCACGATCAGGGCCCGGTTGGAGCTAATCCTGCGCCGTTGCTGACTAGCGCTGACACGCTCGCTGTGTTCTCAACCTGGCTGCTCTAGCTGAATTTCCCCTCCATGTGATGCTGCTGCCTGGATGCATGTTCCAAGTCTCCGTTGCACCGGAATCCATCAACGTATTGTGGGTGGCCCGTTCCGAAGCTCAGCCTATCTAGGCCCTGCGGCCAAATTCGCATTTCATCCCTGGAGGCGGGGTTGCTGCGCCGCATTGGCCTACTTTCGTCCTTTGTTCGGAGATGAGCCGGGCCTTAAATGTCTCGAGGCCGTCTTGCAATCCGTTCGTTCACTTTTCTTCGCCGTCCGCTTGGCAGACTGCAGCCTTCCTCATGGCGCCTCAGCATCACTACACGCTGGCGGATCAAGGAGAACTGGAAGTAGAGGTAGTATCGGAGAGCAATACAAACTCAACTGGAAATGCACACGCAGAGGCTACTCTACCCCAAAATGAAAAAGGATTTTCCGATGAACCTCCAGCAACCCCTTCGTCGGTCGCATCCACGCTCGAAAAGGGCACTACCAGCACGTCCCACTGGACCATTGGGTGGATGACCCCAAGCTCCATCATTACTTGCTTTCTCTTAGGTAGGCTTTCCTTATGTAGAGGACGAGGTGCCTTGTTATGTCGGCGCCGTTTCTTTACCAAAAATGGAAGCTTTATTGACTGTGCGTTTCAGCGGCCTCTGTGGCCTCCATGCATCTCGGTCTCTTTCATTGGCTGGACCAGCGTGAAGTCGAAAAGACCATCAAGCAGCCATACGTGACAGCCCTATCTGTTGTATTCGTGAACGGGTTCCGGACCTTTCTGGCCGCCGCGTTGGGAATGTCTTTCATTCAGATGCTGTGGAAGGACCTGCGCGCGCGCCCGATGCGCATCGGCGACATTGACGCCTTCCTCTCAGTGCTGACGAACCCCCTCTACCTCGGAAATGTGCAGCTCCTAACGGTGGCTCCTATCCCGTTTATTTGCGCCTTAATATGTTGGTGTATCCCCATCGCCATGATCTTCCCAGCGGGTGCTCTGACCGTCGAGTCCAAGTCGTTCCATACCTTGGCCAACCAATCGGTTCCGACATTTGACCCAGCCTTCATTGGAAATGGCACTTTTGCTGGCATGATGACCGAAGCACTGTGGCAGCCCAATTCTTACGATGTCTATAGGTTAGACTGAACATGATTATTGATTGCACTTTGGACAGAGGCCCTAACAACTTTATTAGTGGACCTAGTTATAAGCTTACCCGCGTCGCAAGACAGGCCATGATGGCGGGGCATTACCTTCCAGCTTCGTCTCCGTGTGCTACCGATTGCTCCTACAGTATTAGCATACCGGGCCCCAGCTTCGAGTGCCGCAACTACTCCTCTCCTGATCTCTACGACTGGGTCAACCAGACCTACCCTCAGACGAACACGAGGGGGTATCTTTACATCGCATCGCAAGACAGTGCTGCTCGCACAAACCGCTCAGAAAGTTTCTTTGACTTCGGCCTGCGCTGGAAGAGGGACAATGAATACGACAACCTCACCTGCCGAGCATTCGAGGCGACCTACAATCTGCACATCACTTACACAGGGAGCCAACAATACGTATCGGCGGAGGTCAATCCAATTCGTCAGCTAAACAGCTCGTATATGTACGACGATGGTGGCGTATCTCCTCGGACTGGGACTCTGGACTCGCAAATCAATGCGACCACGACGGGAGACACCGGAGGCAATGTTATTGACATCTTCCGTCGGGCGAATCTGGCCGCTATCCAGGATTCACTGGTACTGGCACTCTCAGGATACATTGACATGCTCAGTGAGTACTCCTTCATGCAAGTAATAGATTAACATCAATAGAGGCTCACAAAATGTAGTCATCCACGGCCAGCCATCAGCCAACACTATCATATCCCTGACAGACCTATACACAGGCCCATCAAACACACCGACCTTCAACATTACAGGCGCTTCAATGCAAGATCTGTTGAGAAACATTACTATCTCCCTCCTGACCATGAATCAAACAACCACCCAGGTTACCGTTACGAACAATCTAACGGTGAACGTATACTCCTTTAGCCGACCGGCACGCCTGATCGCCACGTACTTTGTGTGCCTTGGATCGGCGTTGGCGTTCATTCTCTTTGGCGGACACGCGCTGATCAGCAACGGTATTTCTGCCAGCATGACCGGCATGTTCCAGACATTATGTACTACTCGAGCCAGTACACGGCTAGATGATCTGGCGGCTAAGGGGTGCTTGGGAGGTCGAGAGAATGTTCCGGATGAGTTGAGGAACCTGAAGGTCATGTTCGGGGAAATCCAAGGGAAGGATGGCGTGCGCATGGCTGGACTGGGTTCTGTGGATGAGGTTACTCCGTTGAAGAGGGGCTCGATATGACTTGATGATATAGTAGACTCGGCGTAGTATATCCGGGATGGACTATTGGTACATATTATGATTAATGTTTAAATGTGACGAACGATATTACTACACCATTAAAATGAGATACTATTGGAACAAAGAGCGTGGTTGTGGCACGTAATAGTTTAGTTACTCAGCTCGGAATGTCCGCTTGATTATAGAGATGTGAGAGTTATTCTGTCATCCTCGACCAATACAACCTTTGCCGAGAGCGCAAAATGCTATGTTATAGGATGGGTTATTGCATCTTCTGGGTTTTCTACCCAGGGCGAAATTCTCTGTGGCGAGGTACGAAAAACGAAATGGCCTCATGCAAGAATGAGGGGAAGTTGCATGTGCCTCACTGGCCAATGGAAACAACATCATAGAAGGTTCCACATATATTGGAGCCTTATATTACTCGCTCAAAAGAGATTCTTGACCACGTACAATTGAATCACGCCCACCTTAGAAACCCCAGCCTTGGAGAAACAGGGTTTTAATACCATGGTACTCCTTCGTGGTGCTATCTCGGAGACCTCGGGTTCATTTAGGGTGACATGGCCGCATCAGCAGCCAACAGCATCTCGACTTGCAAATGATCGACATCCGCCGGGCTTTTATGCATGATGGCTTGGACCTGTCTTTTTTTGCCTGGTAGACTAGCAGGATGCCCAAGGTATGGGCGGGGCAGAGGAAAAGAAAGAGGGCGGGCAATACCTATAGCGAGATTCAAGTTGAGTGTCTGGCTATTCACGTATTATGCAGGCAGATATAAAGCCATTCAGGCTTCCTTCGGCACTCAAGACATGGAATCAAACCACTTACATCCTCAGTGACTGACTGAAGAGCTTCAAGCACTTACCCCGCCATTCTCTGCATAAAGCAGACACTCATCATGACTATCTTCCGGAGCTCGGCAAAGGCCAGTGAGAGCGAATCTCAGTATGGCATTAAAGTGTTGTACGACTCCAACGAAGCGGAGGTAGAGTATGTGATTAAACCCTAGAAGCCAATATCCTTTCCCATCGCTGACTTGCGTTCAGTATCGTCTTCGTCCACGGTCTTGGCGGAAGTCGCGACGCAACCTGGACGATCGATGATGTGTGCTGGCCCCAAGCCCTTCTTCCGCAGGACTTACCCAAGACCCGTATCATGACTTTTGGATATGATTCACGGGTGGTCAGCTTCACATCAGCTTTATCGCAGAACGGAATTGTGGGAAATGCTGAGGATCTTTGTGCTCAGCTATCGCGGTTCAGAGCCTCTTCGGTAAGAGGCAATACTACTTCTTCTGAGTATCGTAGCTAAGGATGGCAAATAGCCAGAGCGCCCGATAATTTTCGTAGCTCATAGCTTGGGCGGCTTGGTCTGCGCACAGGTAAGTTGACAACCCTTCATTTATTCCCAATGTTTGGGAGATTTAACAAGCCATCGAAGGCTGTCGTAGCAGGCAACCGCAGCTCCCCCTCCGACAATACACAGATTATCAGTAAACACGTCCGTGGCATAGTCTTTCTGGGGACCCCATTCTGCGGTTCCGAAATCGCAAACTGGGTGTCTCGTCTCAACAAAGTAGCGGATTATATCTTCGAGAGCAGCAAAGCCAATATCTCGGACCTGAAAAACAAATCGGACACACTGCAGCACCTGATCGAAGAGTTCGCGAACGTTTTGCGAAAACGCGATAACTCCGACGACAGTATCGTGACCACTTTCTTCTATGAGCAGTTGAAAACACAGGGAGTTATGGTAAATGAACTGCAGATCCTGGAAGTTTTAATAGTTAGGCTAACATGAGCAAAGGTGGTTGACCGAAATTCTGCCACTATCCCCGGTCGCGGAGACATGATATCCATCCAAGCCGATCATAAGAACATCTGCAAGTTCCGATCGAGGGAAGATGATGAAGGATACGGGTTGGTGCTTGGGGCACTGAGAAAGATGATGGTTGAGGTACCGGTGAAGCAGAAGTCGAGTGTAAGGGTCTGCTGCTTGACGTTCACTGCTACGCCTGCTAATTTGCATTCTAGAGCCCTGTCTTCAACTTCAACAATGATGGAGCTTCCATCATGAACCAGGCAGGCCAGCAGACTATCAATGGGGGAATGAACTTTGGGGCGTTTGCACGGTAGACGAGCGTACTTAAACACGGGCTCTTGGTGCTCTACCGCAATATGATACGAGATCGCAACATTTGTCGCTGAGTTATGATATCTTGTTCGTGTGGGATAAGACGGTAAATTAGAAGATGCTTGCATTTCATTCATCAAGAGTTCTATATGCATCGATAGTAGACTTGTGTGCCTTCAGGAAAAGATTGAAGATTGCTAAGAGCGAATATCCTTTATGATTCGTGAAAATAGAGATAGCTGTTAAACCCCTCCTCTAAAGCAAATTCAGCTCCAACTTGTTCGCAAGGGGAATATGACCAAGCAATCTGGCGAGCTCCGAAGGACGGTGATTAGAACGATTTCTCGCATTTTTGTCGGCCCCTCGCCGCAAGAGGATGCTGATAATATCAACGTGTCCTCCAGATGCAGCGACATGAAGCACTGTGTGACCCTGCGAATCCGCGGCCGAAACGTTTGCGCCGTTGTCCAGTAGATGCTCCACTTTTGCAGTCTCCCCTTTAGCGGCTGCTTCTAGGAGCTTCTGATCAAGATGAGACTGGCATCAGGGATGACACATTAGTCTGTGATAATAAATTTGGGTGCTGAACAGTATATCTGTCTACCTTATCCTCAGCAATATGCCGCACGCCATCTGTGACTGGATATCAGTACTAGTGCAGTTATTAGAAGCTTGACCGAATGATATACCTTGGTCATAGGAATAGAAAGTATTATTATAAATACTGCCATAAACAACTTGACTACCGGCCTGGTTATGAACCGTATTGTCTTTGTTGTCGAAGGTATTTCCGTCACCCATCTCGTCTCAACAGGCACTGTAATCAGTCGAAGAAAATGATAATTCGATTTAAAATCGTTACTGGCAAGATTTAAAATGGAACGGGGTGAGGAGGTACAGAAAATTCGAAGTTAAGATGTGTCAAGCTGTTTGGCCTGAAGGTTGCTGCCCTACAACTGCATTTCGCTGTCCAGCTCAACTAGCTCCATCGTTTCGTTGGGAATCATTTGCCTTGAAGCTCAGTGGGGTCTGCAGGTATCAATATGCAAGAGTTGCAGGCTATGATAGTATTGGTCGGTTAGCATGGAAAGTCCTCCAGACCAGGCTATTCCCGCCGAATCCGAGGAGGGGCAGGGGGGGACGCAGCGTGAGTGGCCTGACTAGAGTATCCTGAGTCTATGCAGGTACTTCTTGCTAGGCACGTACTGCGGTTAATCATCCAGTGATGGCATCTTATATCTAGAATTTAAGACAGAAATACTAGTCTTCTTCAGCAGGCTAACTTCTAAATGCACTCTTACTAGCGTTCAGCGAAGAACCTTAGCTTCGCTCGATCGCCGGATGATTGCCGCCTAAAATCAGTCAAACATGTCTCTCTGAGGCAACTACATTTACAACGCCACTCTTCTAGTCGGCATCTTTCGTCCTACCCCGAATCAAGTGCCAGCACTACTTATATAACCCATGAAATCCCTCTACCTAGATTTCCTTCCCTTCCCAACCATATTTCGTCTTCAATCCAGTTTGTTCGCAACCATGGCACTCATTAAACTCACCGTCATCTCGGATCCAGTTTGCCCATGGGTATGTTACAATCCACCCACGGCTTCTTATATCCATTTGAATCTAAACTTCCATACACAATGCTATATCGGCTATCGCCGCCTAACCAAGGCCATCCGCCTATACCAGAAAACCTATCCTGGTGGAAGCCAAGATCGCATCCGCATCTCCTGGAAACCGTACTTTCTAGACCGCGAGGCTCCAATGGAAAGTGTACCCTACATAGGTCTGTAGCCTTACATCTTCCAAAATCGAGGCAAATCCTAATCAATTTACCCACAACAGAGCGAATGACCCAAAGACTCGGAGCTGATAAAGTTCTTGCCGCAAAAGCTCGGTTGGAGCGACTAGGCGTACAAGAAGGGATCCATTTCAAGTTCGGAGGTCGATTTGGAAGTAGTCTACGTGCGCATCAAGTGATGTTGCTGAGCGAGTTGGTTAGTCGGGAAGAAGAGAATGATGGACGTGGTGTTCGCGATATTGCTACGGCTGTTGCTGAAGGCATCTTCCGAGCTCATTTCGAGGATGAGTTGGAAATCACTGATATTGAAACCCTGGTGCGCGTTGCCGTGTACGCTAGTGAGGGGTATTTGGAGGAAGCGAGAGTCCGGGCCTGGCTTGAGCAGGGACAGGGGGTGGAAGAGATTGATGATATGGCGGCAACGGCTCGTCGGGAAGGCGCTCACGGTGTGCCATACTTTCGGATTAGCGGAGGAGAGGTTGCTGAAGGTGGGGCGTTGACTTTAAGTGGTACCCAGGATGTCGATGAGTTCTTGAAAGCTCTCATTGCACATAAAACAGGAAAGGAACTGGAATCTGCGGACCAGGAGGCAGGTCAGGCCATGACTTCGTGTTGAGTTTATGAGATGCGTCAAGTGAACATGTACTATTACTGAGTCAAGGAGCTCATGCAACTATGTACAAGTTTGGTCTGGATACGTTCTGCTTCATCCTCACTGTTCTCACCCTGCTTCTCTGTTTACTTTCCTTGCGGCAAGTAAACGCTCATCTCAAACCCATTAGTGAAAGGCAAAGTCATGTTGCGGAAGCCATTCTCAGGCGATCTCAAGAACGACAGCAGATCCGCGTAGCCCTGAGCGCCGGAGATCGTATTATCAGTAAGAACAACTGCACCGTGTCGAAGGTGAGGGAGAACAGTTTTGAGGGTAGGAAGTGCTAGTGGAGTCCAGACTACGGATCTCAGTTAGCATGTGGAGTGTCTATCAAGGATCACAGAACTCACTATCAAGAAGGAGAAGATCAATCTCCGGCAGCCCTTCCTTCAGGGTCTCAAGCAGATCACCTTCTCTGAGATCGATCTGTTTCTCCACAATCTCACCGCACTGATGCCAGTAGCCCCGCGCAATATCTGCCTTCGATTTCTCCTTCTCCGTTGCGATGACAGTGCCAGGCTTGCCTGTCGCCGCGGTGGTCTTTGCGACAGCCAGAGCAAGGTAGATGGTGCTAACTCCAAAGCTAGTGCCTGCCTCGATGATATTGGTGGCGCCCATGGAGTTGATCAGCTGATAGGTAAATTGGCATTTGTCTTCGTCCAGCGCGATGAACTTGTCGAGCATGAGTTGATCGAATTCGGCTTGCGGGTTGGCGGCAGGGCCTTTGCCTTCCAGCTTGCCGAGAACAGCTGTCGAGATAAATTTGCCATTCTTGGAGATCAGGGCTTCCTGTTCCAAGGACTTTTTGTGAAGTTCGGAGAGGAGCTGTAGGACATGTTGCGGGGCATCGACGGGGTTGGGGGATGGCATGGTGTGCTGTTATTAGATGTCAAAATGAGTGCTACTTAACAGATATATTGAATTCGAGCAGAAAGTAACTATAAGGTAGGAATTCTTCAAGATTGCTGTAGACTAAGGTAGATGGTAGATGAAATACGTTGCTTTGATCACGCCGGAAGAACAGGATGAGTGATGGATGTGGGGGAAGAGTGGGCTCTTGGCGTTCGGAGTAGCATCAACAGGGGCATGTTTTCTTCCGGATAGCATCGGAACGGCAAAGACGATGCAGAGACCAGTAACTACAGTGAGACTTTCAAGGGAACAGATGCCGATAAATAGAACTCCAGCATCCAATGATGTGGTAATATAGCGTCGTACACAGTCAGACTCTTCCAGGCCAAATCAAGGCTACAGCCGGTAATGGCATTTTTAAGCTTACGTCTGCCTGTTCATCTCCCTTCATGAAATGATTTATCGGTACATATGGCACCAAAGATTCATACTTGATTTTTATTCTCTTTCGGCTTCTATGGTTGTTCTTGACTAAATGAAGTTGCCAGGTCCAGAAATTTTGGAAGATTGACTCCGCGGAGATCGAGTATAGTTCTTGGCATTTCGGAGAAGGCGATTGAGTCATCTGGCACCACAACAAGAGGAATGTAACATATCGGCTAATGAAAGCGGTAAATTCAAGATACTGACTCTATTTTCTAGCAGCATTCATGGATATAACTGCTGTCTTCGTAGGATCAGGTGGCGCCGGATGTGAGCTCTCCCCGATACACTGCATATAGAGAATCGGCCCTAGTTAGGGAATTAACATGAGTCATCATGGCTCTATCGCAAGACCTCAACGTTCCAGGCAAAATGACTATGAATAATAAGTATCTGATTTACCAGTGTCACATCGCGAATGTACACGAGCAAAGGATGACAGTTTGTTAAGATCAAGAACCCCTCTGTCATGCTAGTATGACCCATGCTTTATATTGCAAATAGGATCAATCTACTCCCTAACCCACTCTATAACCCGTCTCAGCACTTCAAAGCCATCTGTTGGCCGTTCCAGCTTCGCCAATCGATCTTGTAGTTCCCGGTCCGAAAGATTGCCATTGTACACATCATCCTCTTCCAACAACATCTTCTTGGCCAGTTCAGTCTGGACTTCTGGATGCGCCTGGAACGACAACACAGTATTTTCTTGATTAACAAACATTTCATGATTTTCCGCCAGGTGAATAAAGCCTACTCCAGGTCGGGCCACCTCTCGTACATGAAACTCCGGTAACCTCTGGGGAGAATCATCAGCAGGGCGAACAACCAAAGGGCAGCCATCAAACAACGCACGTAGGTCTTAACACCTGATCGGGTAGAGAAAAACTTCATTCCAGCTTCGGTCAACTTCACATCTTCAAGGCCGGCCTATCATAGAAGATATGTCAGTTTGTGGGTGATGATGAGCTGGGCGGGCTGCGGGACATACAATGGGTCCCGTAGGCACTGCTCGTACTTCTCCGCCAAATGCTCTTGATATAGCTTGGTGGCCCCAGCAGATACCCAGGATCTTAGTCTTTGGTGACTCCCTCGCAGTCCTACGGAGAAAGTCTAAAACACCAAGGACCCAGGGTTCCGAGGATGAGGCATCGGCTTTCCCTCCACTCAAGACGATCAAGTCATACTCTTGAGGATTGGGGAAATTTCCTTCAAACACGGGATCGTACATATTGGCCTTGACATTTGGTGCAATAACATCAAAGGCATCTTGATAAGACCCGCGGACATCGTTCCAGAACTCATTGCCAGGAGGTGTGTTGATGAGGACTGCGATGCGTAGTGGCGATTGGTTGGCCATTGTGTTGGATGCGCTGGTAGTTCCTGCTACACTAAATGGACGATATAAGCTTTCCAGGATGCTAGTCCTCGTCTATGCTAGCGAAAACTGGCGGATACTTATACTCGTTATGATTTACTGGCTGTCGTCTACGCCGTACCCGAAAAACAGAGTCTTTTCTCTCCGGAGAGACAGTACATCGCACCCGCACACCTGTTATAGTAAGATCTTCTTCGCAGATCTGATTGGGTCACCAGAAATAGAGGCCGCCACGAAATACCGAGCCATGACTGACAGGGGCAGAGGCAACTGTTACCCCAACCGGGTTACCGAGAGCGATCGGATCTCTGGCCGAAAGTGGATCTGGACCCACTAATTACCGGATCAAGTGCGCGAGAACGATGCCGAGCGGAGATTTGACATGGAAAGAGGCATAGGACTAGAGTCACAATCGCTGGTCAAATCACGTCCTTTGGATTATTATGTTTGAGACAGATAAGGCGAGAATCTTGAATCCTCCATAGTTGCTAGTGGCAAAGCAAAATACGCAGGCATCACATCAATATAAAGTTGATCTATTCCTCCCCAGTACCCTGCCTTCAGTCTTCCAACAATCTACACAGTATACTCTTCCTCCAGTCCATCAAACCATGTTCTTTGCCAGTGCACATGCCGAATCTGATGAGGAGGTGCTCCTCCAATTCATCAAGGAGAACCCTCTGGGTATGCTCATTACGGGCATTGACTCCTCCGCCCAAGACTTTCTCCAATGCACCCACGTCCCCTTCGTGCTAGACCACCCCAAGACCGAACAAAACCCGTCGTCCAATCCGCAACTACGTGCCCATATCGCTAAGCAGAACCCCCAAGCCAAAGCCATGCTCGAGCTTGCCAGTGGAGCACCACCGAGCATCCTTCCGCTCGAGCGCGATGTCCTGGTGGTATTCAACGGACGCCATGATCACTATGTGACCCCCAAATTCTACACTGAGACAAAGCCCGACACCGGCAAGGTTGTCCCAACGTGGAACTACTCTGTCGTTCAGATCTACGGAAAGCTCTCCCTGTTTTATGATTCCAGGACCCCAGAGGCGGGCGCCTTCCTGTCAAAACAAATGCACGATCTGTCAGAGCAATGCGAGCGACGAATCATGGGATTCACCGGAGGGGACCGACCGCAGCCGTGGAAGGTTGCCGACGCTCCCGAGAGATACATTGAACTGATGCAGAGGAATGTGGTAGGAATTCGGATCGAGATCACCAAGATCGAGGGCAAGTACAAGATGAGTCAGGAGATGAGGCCCGGCGACCGGGACGGCGTGGTTAAGGGTTTCGCGGCTATGGGAGGAGAGACTGGGAAGGCTGTTTCAGCTTTGGTTCAGGAACGAGGGGAGTTGATTGATAAGAAGAAGGCGCTTAAGTCTGCTTCGATAGAATAGAATAGCATAAAAGGATATTCTATCTACTTTGCCCCGAATAGATCGGCGATGAATCATTCCTTGATCCGGTTTAGCGTGTGAACCTTTGACTGGTTGCACAATCACGTGCACCACATTAATAGTGACTCAACCCCTACTATGGATTGCCCTCGGCTCCCATCCGACAGACTGGATGGGTTTCTGCTACTACTGACATCAAAGGTCGAATTAATGGAAGATAAAACGTCTCCCTCATCCTAATTCTATCACATGTACAAGCCTGCGCCACCCAGACCCAAAAAGACAAACATCATCCGCTCCCGCAATGGCTGTCAGAGTTGCCGCAGCCGCAGAACCAAATGTGATGAGCGAAAGCCCACATGCGGGACCTGCGCGAGACTTGAGAAGATCTGTGAATATGCTAGGCCAGCTTTCAAGTTTCAAATCGCGACATTCGACGACCCAAAACCATCACCAAAGCAACTAGCATCCGCAACAACATCCAGTGTATCGTCAGAAGAGACAAGACCAATACAGGAGACAAGCCCAATACCGACTGAAGACCAGACATTGGCTGTCCGAGCTGCAGAAGATGTCACCTCCATCGGAAGCCATAGCATCATCCAGTCATTGCAAATGACGGACCGCGATATCTTTTATACCACCTACTGGGAGGGCTCTTGCTTACCAGCCTTGCACCCGATATTCCATTTTGCCACTTCATTAGCCGCTGACCATCCCATTCTCAACGACGCCCTTTTGGCCCTTTCATCGTGCAATATCGGGCGCCTTCATGCTGAGCGCAGAACACCCTCAGCCGGGACGATGTGTTCAATGAGTCCTAGTCTCATCCACCAGACACGGAGTCATCTATACTACTCGTCCGCAATCCAGAAGTTGGCCATCATGCAATCACAAGACTACCAACAGAACTCAGTCACAATATTAACTGTTCTTGTTCTGTTCGCTCATCTGGAGCAAGCCATGGGCAATTTCCAGGGCTTTTACACTCACGTCCGGGGGATGATGAATCTTCTTGAATGGCATGAAGACATCAAAGACACAGCCACCAAGTCGCTGCTTGCTTCGTGGATGCAAATCCACTATGTTATATAGTGGGCTCGAGCCTATTTCAGTTCATTGGAAGTTTGTCAGCATCTTCCATCGATACCCTTGCCAGCCTCTCTGTTAGACGTACCTCAGACACTACATGAGCGACGTGTGAAAGTCCTTAGCATCATATATGAATCACACTGATTGAACTTCAGTGCCGCACTGCAGCAGTTTCAGAATTTTCGGTCAGGCGACGTTAGTGATCCCGATTTCGACGAATACTATGTATATTGCACTACTCTATTGCACAAAGAAGCGGCAAAGCTGGATGCATGGATATTACAACTTCCGCTATCCGAGCAGCTAATATACAAGCTCAACGACACAGACAGCACTACAATCCGCTTCCAGTCCCATGATGCCGCGCTGAACTATGCATACTACGTAGTTGCACGAGCCATGCAGTGCACGGGTATTCTGCGACTCCTTTATGATCGCGAAACCGCCCTTCCCGGACGGGAGTGTAATGAAGAGGAATATTAGGTTCAGACATTAGTCCGGATTGCACAGTGGAGCGATATGCAGACGTCCATTACCAAAAATAGCTATACTATCGGGTTCTCGGGCTTACTCTTGGCGGGTATTCTCCGATGCCAGAGTCTATCAGTAGGCTTGGAGATCCAAGATTGGTTGCAGACGCTCATTAATCTGCAACCAACCGAAGAGGAGGCATCTCCTATCTATCAAACCTTCAACGTGGTCAAGATCATCAATCAACAGAGAGCCCTCGGCCGTGATGTTTTCACTGTCACTCAGCCAGTGGATAACGGCGGTGGAACACCCAAGCTTACTGGGTACAACAGCCAGTCGATTACAAGCCTTCTCTTCCATGGGAAAAACCATAATCTCGACTGTCTTTTCCAAGATTGCATCTCCCTGAATGTCTGATTCACTCGACAGTGGAATAATCCTTTCCAACCGGACACATTTAGTCGCATGTTGTACGCAGCATTGCTGGAGTATGCATCCTCCCTGACAGACAGTCAGGTGGTTAAGCGAAGCACATTCAAAGAGTGCCCTATCGGCTCCATCAGAAGAGAATCAATGCTTTCGGGTAGATCCTTGTACAACTAATATACAGGCCACAAGGAGATCACCTGTAAACTGGCCTTTTAAATCCCTCCAGACGAGATTTCAGCAGTGCCAATGTAAAACGACAGCCGCCTTGAGCCGGTTTGGGCCGCGAGGAGGCATTATCATACATCCATCCCGCTGCATTACTCCCACCACTCAGTGACCAGCCAGGGTCACTGATTGAGACGGGTTTCTAAACTCACCCGGACAGTGCTGGATAATCACACAACGGAGTTTTCCGAGCTATCCACACTTAAGACCCCTAGTCATCCTCCGCCGGCGTTGTCCGAAACAGACTTGTTTCTGGTCACAGAGATCTGCATCACCAAACCCGAGGGATAACCCACACGAACCCTTAAACGCAGTTAAATCAAATGTTCGTGGATGCGACGAAGACAGGCACCCGGCCTGCGGTCTGTATGTGTTTCATGTGATGTATTGATTGGATGGGGACCCGATACTCGGTCTCTTCCACTGTGGAGGAAATGGATGGGAATTGTTTCCGGCAGCAGCAGGCAAGCGGGAACTTACGTCCTTCACTATTTGCTACTACTGAGTCACACCGTTCTGAAATTCATTTATCCGGTCGATGTACAAACTACGCCCCTGAGCTTCGGTAGTTGAAGGGATGCAATGTGTTGATTAGCCTAGTCGCGGGTGTCTCGAGCTTCCGATCCATTCAAGATGTTCAAGCATCACTATCGTGAAACTTGTCCAACCTTAGCAATTTCTTCGCATTCTCCCGACCAATGGCATAATAATTGTCAACACCTCCAACAGCCTCAACAATAGCGTCCTTATCATGATCCCACCAGTTACAGCCACTCTCGGTTGTTTCATACGGGTAGTCAACGCTAAAAAGGACCCGGTCAGCACCAATCTCATTGACCACGTACTTCAAAGTCGGAGTGGAGAAGTGACCACTAATAGTAAGCCAGATATTATGCTTAAAGTAGTGGTAGAGGCTCTTCTGTGCCATGACCCGACCCTCCTCATTCGCAATTGGCTTCTTGACGTCCCGGAACCAATGGTCAATCCGCCAGAAATCGAACGGAATGTGCTCTCCCAGATGACCGATGATGATTTTGTGTTTTCGAAAGCGATCAAAGACTCCGCTGGAGATGATTCCCAGCGTATGTAAACTGACATCGTTGGCAAACGATAGCGGGGGACCGATAAGCGCAGGTCGTTGAGCATAGAGTTTCTCGAGGATGACCCCGGTCGGAGCAGCAGGATGGATATACAAGGGGACGTCCAGCTCCGCAAGGGCTTTCCAGAACTCATCATATTCCGGCTGGTCGTAGAACAGGTACGTCTCACCATCTGGACCCGCATGCTGGAAGCTGCACAGCAGCGCGCCGTGAAATCCTAATTCCTGGACGCAGCGGCGCAACTCATTGGCGGCTTGGGCTGGATCATGCATTGAGAGGCAAGCGAAGGCGCCCAGACGGTCCCGATGGTTTTTGATTTGCTCTGCTGCCCAGTTGTTGGTCTCGGTGGCCAATCGTTCGGCTTCGGCTTTGTCGGCGATGCCCTGGATGCCGGGGACGGTGAGAGAGACAATGGTGTATCCGATGCCGTGTGCGTCGGCTAGCTTCAGTCGTTCTTGATTGATGTCGTTGATTTAACGCATGTAGCGGGGACGGTCATTGGGAGCAATGTAGAGACTGGCCTCATGCTTGGACTTTTCTTGCATGTTAGGCCGCTCGTAGGCTTCTTCGAGGACGACTTTGCCTAACATATTGGTGGCTGGGCGGTGATTGTTGAGAATCGCGTATGCTCCTTTATCTCTGTCTGGTCATGGCTGGACCTGAATGTTTACTCAGTCTCAAAGTTCGTCGTACTCTATCAAGCCGCTGTGTACGTTTTACAGTCTGATATTCAAAGCAGTGATGGAAGAAGCAGTTATGCAGCGAATTGATGAAGTCATCTTTGTGGGTCTGTCCCTGACTTCATATGACATCATCATCATCATGCTAGTCTGGTAAATCGAAATCTACAAGATAGTCAATTGAGACATATCTTGAAGTACTGAACTACTCTGTCAGAATTCTGAGTCGCATTTTCTCATTCGCAACAGAAGAGACTGCGGGTGGTCAAATACCAGAATTATCCTGATATCACCCCAACCATAGAGGCCTACTGGAGAAATATACACCGTATATCCTAAATTGGCCACTTCCCACTAATGGATAATACACTATATCTTTTGCGTTGGCGAGAGAATCCTGAAGGGGCAACATGGGATGATCCACTTGAAGAGGCGAGAACAAGATAGGGCTGAAGTCCGACGTGGTCTATCGATGTGGGTCGTAATTTGCGGGAGAGCGTTATCAGTACGCATTAAGTGATTGGATGGAATACAATAATTCTAATATTTGATGAATGACAATTGATAAGGATCTCCGAAAGGATCGATTATTTGGAGAAAAGAAAGCATCCATTTCCCTATGCTCCCAAGGTTGTATACAATGTTTGATTTCGCTTGGGTTTGCTCACTACCAAAGTATGGACACGGTTGTGCTTTTGTCAGTCACATAAAAGTCGTTCTCACGCTTCTTATCCATAAGTTGCATGCAGCCGCTGAGCTGCTGCAACCCAATCTCGGAGCTATATAGCGCTAATTAGTCCATAGCCCTGCAAGCCGCTTAGTTATCTGCCAGGTGGACTACGTATTGCGTCATCTAAGATAAGCGCCCAATTCTCTACTCTGACTATAGTGGATTGTAATATATGTGACTATTAATACGAGATTTCAATTCGATTTTGGCTATAATGACCGTTTCCGTTCATTGAGAATCTGATCAAGTTCGAAAGGTTCTTGGTAGAGTATTGAAAGTACTGGATATTATTGACTGTCTTCAAGACAAAAGAAGATATAGATATAGAGCACCTACTGATCTATTGCACGTTGTAACCGCTTTGGTATGGATGTAAGTATGGGAGCACATTCTATATCCGAATGGCACATATCAATTTAGTCAGTGCCACTGGGCAATTTCCAAGAAGTCAGTTGACGTGCGTGCGCCTATCATGCAAGTACCCCGCATCTAGTCATAAATAAGAAGCCGAATGCCACGGTGTTAATCACCTCTTCGACATTAATCCTCATGAGGAAAACAACACCATTTGATACATCTTCAATTGAATCTAAAGCTCCTTAAATCAATCGCTACGATGACAAGAATAACGACCTCCAAGCTCAAGATTCTTATGATCCATGGTACTATCCTGACTCTAAGCACGGATGTCAATACCACCACTGACCATAATTACTCTCGACAGGTTATACTGAGACTGGAGAGTCATTTCGCGCAGACATACGTGGCCTGGAGAAAGCCCTCGTGGAAGCCTTTCCAGCAGCACCTGCGCCTGGATACCATCCCGATTACCCAGATGGTGTAGAGCTCGTGTACCCCGACGGCACCTGGAAACTGAAGCCAACCGACTGCGAACGCTATATACCGGGAACTGACCCAGGTTATGGATGGTTCTACAAGGTCAGCGATGACGATGAATTTCAGGCCTTCCCGATGCACTGGAAAAGCTTGGTAATATCATGCGCACTCAGGGTCCCTTTGCCGGGGTGATTGGATTTTCCCAGGGAGGATTTTTAACTGGGCTCATCACGAGCCTGCTTGAACCAGGCAGGAAGAGTGTCTTCGAGAAAGCCGAAGTCGAGAGTGGAGGTATTCCGTTCCCTAAGTCATTTGATGGAGTCGAGCCTATCAAGTTCTCGATCAGCTGCTGTGATTTCGCTGGATTGAACCTTCGATACAAAGCCTTCTATTCCCCAAAGATTTCAGGGCCAATGCTTCATATGAATGGGCAATTTGATGAGTATGTGTACTACAAAAGAAGCCGCACTCTGATTGATGCGACCACAGGTGCTGAGGAAGAGAAAGTGCTCATTCACCCTGGTGGTCATTCTGTGCCGACTAGCAAATTGTATACAGATGCGATGATCATGTTCATCAAAGGGAAACTCGCGTCTTGATGTGATTCTGTGGGTTACAAGCTGCTATATACTACTTGAGCGGCGAAGCACCTGCATAGCCAGCACTTTAATAGGGAGGGATGAAATACATCGGAAACCTTAACCATAATAATTCTCAACACTACCCGGGAAAGTATAGAACCGAGTAAGGAAGCCAATTTCACGTGGTCTACATGGACAGGTACACAAGAGGAGCTAATGCACGTGGATAGTGGTTGACATGATCTGGTTTGGTGTCATGTGACCTCCAACTAGTGACGGTATGCTTCAACAATCGTGTCTGTGTACCTTTTATTTAATTTGCTCTGTGGACCAATCATCAATCAGAAGCTCCAGCAGTCATTCACACTACAACATACATCATCCATGAATCTTTATCAGTTACTTGTTAATTCATGGGTTCGAGCGCAGCCTAGAAACCTTATTTCAACTCTTCATAAGCCCCAGCTGACAGTATCCTCTTCTTACCTTAGCTCTCACTACAAAAGTCTACTTAGTTGAATCGTACTACGAAGGCATTGGGTTTTTTAAATGGTAAGCAACAGTCAGTTTTTCAAGCTATCTTCAACAAAGTTTCTCGAAATTTTGCAGTACAGAATCGTGGACTTTTCGAAGCCATATGACCTGGTTCAAGTGGTGGCCATGAGAACCTCCAACCACTTCAGCAGAGCTCGTTCTTGATATAAAGTCCCTGCTCGTCATCGGTCTCAAAGTTCAGTTCGTCTGTTAAACATACGGACCCGACTACTGTGTCGAGTGCTCCTTCACCCACGTACTTCAGGGCTTTTTTTATTAGGGTGTCCTCGTCAATGATGTCGGCTACATCATCTATTTTGTCTTCTTTAATTCCATCGCTTTCGCCATCATTGCCGGCTTGCTCCTTCTCGTCTTGACTATGCTCGGACTCGGCAGACTGCCAGGTGACTTCCCTAAGGAAATCTTCAAAGGTATTTTCCACTTCGAGGATAGTTGGTGACAGCTCTTCCGGCACGAACTCGGGCTGAGGCAATGGTGCTGACGTGCTGGATTGGTCGGTCACCAGCACGATCTCGGGCTCGGGCAGTAGGTCGAACGCAGTTGAAGACGAGCTCACGGAGCCAAAAAAGTCCTCGATGGAACAGGCAGCTGCCTGTATGCTGGGATCGTTCTCGATCTCCTCGTATACTTCCGGCGGAAACTCGTTCTTAACCCAGGACAGATGGCCGTCAATAAGTTCCTGGTCATGCTCCAGGTTGAGCGTCAGTTTGTTGTCCTCGAAAATGGACAGGTTCAACTGCGCCGGACCCTCTCCCACAAAGACATAAAATTGAGCCAACTGGCCCACTACGATCCCACCGTAGAGGGCCCTTCGGCTTCCGTGGTCATTCTGTCCGTGGTATGATGCAGCCAAGCGATTCTTAAGGGGGACCTGCAAAGCAGGCCAATCGACGTCTAGTGGGCCCGTAACATCTTTCCATACGAGCATGATAAAGTTGATCTCCCTGAAGGGGTACTCTCGGTGGCTGACAATGACATGGCTCAGGTCGTAATTACGGAGCCCAACAAGGTCCGTTTGCTGATCGATAACCTCCATGTCAACCTCGCTCAAGCAATCCTGCATCCGACCGAGCCACTCATTCGGCGAATGGATGCGGCTCGGTCGGGGGGCACGGCTAGGCCGAGAGTACGGGGTCGAACGTCTCTGGTGCCGTACATACCTCTTGATGTGCCCCTGCGAGTTGGGTATGACGGAGCTTGCAAGGTCGGAAGTTGAGCTGGTAGGGCCGGTGGTAAATTGTTCCAAAGTCTGGTGGAGTTGTTTCGAAGCATTGTGTGCTTTAGGATTCATTTCGTCCTCGGGGCTGTCATCAGGCGTCAATGGATACATTGGCCGCATGACAAGGCTAGGCCTACTCCATACTTGTCTGTAAAAGGCGGGACGAGGCATGGAGGTGGTCTCTTCGGGGCTTAGAAAGGCCTCCGAATCTGCCGACATAAGTGGCGGACATGAGTACCGTCCAGCCCGGCCTTCATCAATCAGACTTTCTTCGCTGATACCGGACACTTGATTCAGCAGGTGTCTATTTGCCTGGGCCCATGTCTCCCTCTCTGATTCTTTTGCCTCTTCAGCGTTGCTTTCTCCACGTTCTATGCCGGCGCGCACTGCATGTCGTTGTGTATCAAGCTCAGAGTGCTTGGGTCTGTCCTGTCGCTTGGGGCGTGAGACAGGCATATTGTCTGCTCAGAGCTGCTTTGCTGCAGTGAACACTTGCTATGATAATGCCTTGATGTGATAGTATAGTGTCTTGCTACCGATGCTGTAGGAGATAGGAAACATCTTGGTCCCTGGAGAGGGAATCGGGATATAAAAGGGAGACTTTCGCTAGCGGCATGACAGTGACAAGCCGGTTGAGCCCTGCCCTTTGGTTCTAGGCGCAATGCGATGAATGACAATAACATTTCATACATGATAATAGACAGTGCCGTTGTCTTCTGTGGCGAATTCCAGTCAGGGTAATGGGATAACAACGGTTAACTCCCTCCTCGAGATTTAGCGGAGGATGCGCCGTCTTTTGATTGAATTGCTGTTCAACCTCGTTATATTTTTATCCAATAGCAAAAACCCCTCATTATGCTAGACTAGTGTGAATGATTGGCTCGGTGAAGGACGGGGCGCGTTTCAAGGTAACTAGTGAGAAGCCGTGAATACACCCACTGTCTCCAGTGTACTCCATACCGGGGATTCACACCTGTCTGTGAATGTATGGATACCTCAGGCACTGATATGCTACAACTACTACTTTGTGGTCAAAATCAAAGGAAATCAGTATCAAACTTAGCTGAAACAGATACTCTGTTGTGTTATTCTATCTACTATAATTTCATTCCATAGAATTCATCTTCCTACCGCAGTGAAGCAAACATACCTTCCACCCAGCTTCTTCTGCAGGGCTCAAATCAACTTTTTTCCGTTCCGGCACAATCTCAACTGGTCATGTGACCTGCTGGCAGGGAGACGTGCCCCGTTCACAACCCCATTGTTTCCCCACAATCCATCTGGAGTTTACCAGATTACCTCACCAAAAAATATGGGGTTTATCGATTTCATCAAGGATATTCTGCGCCCGGGCAATGGCGTGGATTATCCCAAGCCGGGTGACATGGTAACAGTGCATTACCACGGCTATCTTTACGACCCGGCACGGTCAAGGAACCGAGGGCGTCGGTATGTTCCTATCAATCAGGGAGACACGGCTTGCCGTTTGTTTTACCATCACTTGCATGGCCTGGGCTGTTCTTCATACTAATATTGGTCCCACTATAGATTCGACAGCAGTATTAAACGGGGATTTCCTTTTACTTTCAAGGTCGGTGTCGGCCAGGTGATCAAAGGTGCGTCGGTGCAGCAACCCCTGCAGAATGTTAGGCTGATCAGTTTCAGGATGGGATGTTGGTATTTTGGGGATGAGTCTGGGTGAAAGAGCCTATCTTACATTCGGCCCGTATGTCTTATTCACAATGGCTATCTCCTTTCAACGTGTCCACTACTAACCATTCCATATGTATGACAGTCACTTTGGATATGGCGAGAGGTAAGTTTCATTCTATCCCAAAGATTTGGAATTTGCGCTGATGTTGTTTCCAGGGGAGCTCCTCCGTTTATTCCAGGCAATTCGACCCTCGTCTTGTAAGTTCCTACCCCAAACCAAGGCTTTTCTTGACTCACAGATGTGCAGCGATGTCCAGCTACTCGCCATCAATGGCCGAGGGGTTGAGTCGGATGATTCTGAATAACTGTACAATACTATGTAACTTGCTCGTAAATGTTCACATCATATACCATTTCCTTCTTTTCCACGTCATTTTGCGCTTCAGATACACAGTGTCTCATCACCTCGATCTTGCTCCATATATCTTATTCTTCGTCACACTCATGCTCTGATTTTCGCTGCCATCAAATGGTCGCCGCAGCAGCACGTATAACCTCTGCCACCCGCGATGGCTGACTGAGCTGAGGCATGTGGCCAGCACTGCACCGCTCGATCTTGCTCCCCGCCAGGTTAGCTAGTTGCTCTTGGAGGCCCGCTGGAAGAGCATTATCACCCTCAGAGACAAGGTACACGCTGGGCACATCCTTCCACCCAGCGTAGGGCACCCTGCCATTCCAACCATCGGCCGGCTGGGGGGCAAGCATAGCCAGCCATTTTGTCTTCTCTTGCTCAGTAACGTCGTTGAGAAGCAGCACCTCAGGATCGACGCAGTACATCGCACCTCCCTGTCAAACCACACGTCAACCAGATATCTTCACAATAGGGGACGAGAACATTAATTGGCTGGGTAACCAACCTCAACAACAGCAAATGGCAAATCCTCGTGTTCATGACCTTCCGGAAAAACCGCCGCAGCCAAGAAGACAATCTTGACGACTCCACCCTGTCCGACAGCCGACTTGCTCAGGCCTTCCATGGCAGCGCTACCTAAAAATCCACCGGCCGAATGCAATACGAGAATAACATCTTCCCCGCGGCGCACGATGCTCGTCAGATGGTCGCGCACGGCGGCTATATCATCGGTCATAGCCGGGTTTCCGGGCGAGGTGGTGCCCGTGCTGGGTAATGTGCAGACTTCCGTCTTGAAACCATCAGCCTGCAGGAGATCGCATACGGGAGTGAAGACTTTGGGCCCCTCCCAGAAACCCGGGACGAAGAGGATGGTGGGTGCCATTTGACCGAATGGTAGTAGTACGGTTGGTGAGATTATGGTGGTAAAATCATGGGTGATCGAGAGGGGCAGCAGCTGTGGATTATATCCATGATTGATCTGTCGCTAGCGCATAATGGTAGCCTAGATGAGGGAGGGGTACAAAGCTGCCACTAAAGGCACCGTACTGCTAAGTCACACTACATGTGTACCTACTGGGGCTCAGCAAGCCATTGCAGGCCAGCTGGTGCGAGTCAACAACGTTCTGTTGGCTGCAGTGGCGTGCAGTACGTAGATATGGGGCATTGGTTGCTCCACCCAAAACAAAGGAAAGCTGAACATCTACTTAAAATCTCACGTCAGGCGGACGAGTCGGGACTCCGATTCCAGCCTTTTTGGAGCACAGACAAGGTCGAGATTTGACGGATCAATGGGCCAATGAAACCTTGGTATACTGGCTTATTTGTGATGCGCTAATTGCTAAGCTTTCTGGTCGCTTATTTTCTTCCGTCCAATCGACTAGCATCTAGCTCGCACTCAGCTCATCACCGTCTGTCAGTGGGCTATAGAGAACTGTAGTAGACCAGTTCTACTTGTATGATCATATTTTTTCGTTTTTGAAGCAACTCTACGGAGTAGAATGGTGGACCTTACCGATAGACTTGACGTCAAGTCTTACTGTGTCACTGGGTTCTTGGATCAGTATGTGGTGATATTTGGCAAGGTAAAGGAGTATGTTCAATCGCATATATGGCTTGTGTACAGTATGAGACACTGCATGGTAGTTTATTAGTGCTAAATGTCGGAATCAGGGCAAGTGAGATGAAGCTTGCAGTTGGATCGCCAGTCTGCATGCCAAAATATGTTGCACGCCATACTGGATAAAGAATATACATCTTGCCCGGTCCAGGTGGGAGAACCGTGAGCATGTTCATCCGCGGGAATAAAGGCTAACAGATTAGATAGGAGATTATATATAACCGAGCTGAAATGAAAAATCTAAGGTTGACAATAAAATCCGCCGTCTGTTGACCTGGCCTATCTGCAAGGAAAGCTCTTGTGGAACAACGTACAATTCTCAGCTATAAAGCAAAAGTGTTTTCAACAATCATCAAATACGGCCGGGTGGCGCAATGGTAGCGCGCTGCCTTCCGGTAGTGGATGTGGCAGTGGTTGCGTGTTCGAGTCACGTCTCGGTCGTTCTTTTTTTCTTTTTGCATTTATTCCCCCCGCTACCTGGAGTGATGGCATAACTTATTTTTATTGGCTATAACATCCTCTTCTCCCCGCTTTCCGTGATATCTGATCCATTTTCATCAAAGTGGACATGGCCTGCGGCCCCGCCCGGGATCGCAACTTTTTGGCACGTTATGGGAACAATGGCCTGCATCGAGCATCGCACATAGGCACATTTTCCAACTATCATGTATCTTCTCCTTCTATTGCCAGTTCTCGATAATAGTGAGAGATCCGGCTGGTCATGCCACCGAGGACAGAATCATGTCAGCAGCCTACAATGCACATATTAGCAGCAGCACTATGCCCTCATGCTCCAATACCTACCTGTTCTGCAACACCATACGTCGGCGCCTGATAATGCGCCGCCAATGGTAGTGGGATTACACCAGAGTCCACAACCCTCAATCGCTCAATCTGATACACCCGACACTCAGTGTCGACAACTTCCCCCATCGCACAAGTCCCCGAGTAGTGAAAGCAACTACCACCACTCCGGTTCGCCCGGACATCGATCGCCTCATCGGACCAATTGTCACGGAGGGAATCGTCGACTCCGAACTCGACAGCATTGAGACCCTCGACGGCCTGTATGGCACGCGCAGTCTCCCGCACATTCTCGTACATCGCCGATCGGTCAATCGGGGATGCAAGGAGTTTGGGATCGAGCACGGGGGCGTCAGAAGGGTCAGATGATCGCAGCGTGAGAGTACCCCGTGATACTGAGTCGACGAGAACGTGCATGAGGCTGATGACGCGCTTCCCGGGCCAGCCCTCGAGGGGTTTCTTGCGAGCGGACGTGTCGACGGCGGTGTAACTGACTTGGTTAGCAGTGCCTTTCTTCCTGCGAGCTTTGAGGAACAGCATACACAATAAAGTTTTCAAGTTGCATCTTTCCCTCAGCCATGTACCGACTGCGCTCGGCTGAGCCCAGAACTTGTTTGGCCAGCTCTTGTGTCTTTGCGTCCGCAGGCGCAAAAGACATCCAGTCGTATGGCAAGCCCGCTAGCCAATGGACCTGATCTGTTTCCATCTCCCCGTCGCCGAGGGTAGCATTGTGCTCGTCAATCGTCCAGTAGGTGAATATATGAGGGTGGTCAGCATAGTTCTTCCCCACGGGGAGGTCTACGACTGGAGTGATGTTATGTCGCTGCAATTCTTCTGCTGGGCCGATGCCGCTGTTACTGTTATTAGGTTTTTCTATCCCAAGAAGCAGTTAATGCCTACTCACCTTAGAAGGAGGATTTTGGGTGATCCATATGCCCCAGCTGAGAGGATCACCTCTTTCCGAGCCCTGACATGCACACGCTCAATCTTATCTCCTACTGATCGCGCAATAACGGTGCCTTCCGCAGTCCTCCCAGTCATGATGAGCCTATCCACAGATGAATTCGTCCAGACAGTGACGTTACTTCCCAAAGGGTAGCTACTCGCAAAGCTTCTCAATCCCGCATAGGTGGAACTAAAAGCCTCCGAGTACCCCAGCTGCTGTCCACTATTCATATCATCCACCTGTTTGCGATCGAGCAATTCGTGAAACCTACGGCTCTTCTCCCGCAACGGGTAATTGCGTGGCTTGCCACTATTCGTCGCATGACTGACCTACACGATATCAACACGGTACCTCATAACGTAGAAGAGGAATGCGATAGCTACCTTAATCGGTCCACGATCTCCATGAGAATCAATCGTGACACAACCCTTCTCCTTCATCTCCACAGAAGGATACCACGTCTCGACCCTCTTGAAATACGGCAAAAGACCATTCCACGACCATCTCCGGTCCTGAACAAGATCTGCCCATTGGTCACTACACCAACACAGTCACATCAGCAACAATCTTCGTAGCCACATCGCCATTAATAGCATGGAATCTCACTAATCAACAGCCGGCCCGCGCGTAAACACCTGATAATTTACCCCGGACCCTCCCCCGACAATTTTGCCAGAGGCCAGACACACCGTATCACCTCCGAAAGCGCGCTCCTGCGGTACCGAGCGATGGGGCCATTCGAGATCCGAGCCGAATCCTGCCGCGAAGCCCATTGCGCCGGATGTCCGATCGTCTTTCTCGATGCCGGCCTCAATGAGCAGGATGCGCAGATCGGGACGGCTTTGCGAGATTCGACTCGCTACCACGCAGCCTGTTGCTTATCAGTATGAGTGGGAGATATTGTGATTGGGGGATTACCTGCGACGCCTGCTCCGACTATAATGAAGTCGAATGTTTCTTCTGGCTTCATGTTGTTCATGTGAGATATGGCTGACAGCTATAGACGATAGATGGCGAAGATCGTATGCCTCTAATGCGACGGGCGATAGATATACTTGGAGCTACGGGTGGCCTGAAGGGCAAGATTGTATTGATGATACTTAGACCTCGTCCGCTTGCGGTATAACCGACCAGAGAGACGTGGATGGCTGTTACACGAGGAGAGTCAGCTTCTCGTAAATGACTTCTTGTATGGGAGTCGCCATCCGCAGGGAAATACCACTACCAATGAAAGAACACGAAAAATATAAGCATATCGTTACATCCAGCTTCAGCAGGCTTTGGCCTTAAGGCGTGCACTATGACCGCATGAAGGCTGGTCTGGACACAGAAAAGAGTTGGGCGCGAAACCTAAATGCGTGAGGGGAAACGGCGTCTCCGCATCAAGTTTCCCCGAGTATCAGCGAACAAGAAACACAGTGAGTAAGAAAGGAGTCTTGTCTTTATTCCATCATCACGTCAATCATCAACATCATCTCATCTATTCTACATCTAAGATCGCAACACTCTTGACGAACCGACGAACCTATTTCCAGGTATCCTCGGTAACCGCCCACGGACCCGGAGGCACCTTATCATTCCACTCACCGCGCGGGGGGCGCCAAAGCAAGAGAATCGCGGGCGGTTGGCATTCATGCACCAGCCTGTTCCACTCATCACTGGGATTCTTCTTCGCAAAGTCGATGTTCAGACTGATGACACGCTTGTATCCGCTCTCTTCATACAACCAGCGACCGATGGGACTGCCCTCGATCCAGCTCTCGTATCCTAGGGGATCGATCCTCTCGTGGCCCCATTGCATGAGGAGTCGTCCTACGCCTCGACGGCGGTAATCGGGGTGGACACCCATGGCATTTACGCCTATTCATTCATCAGTTAGCTCTCTTCAATAATGAATAAAATAAATGGAATGAAGGGGTATATACCAGCATGAGGCCTCTGCAACCAACACTGTCTCGGAAAGAAAGCCTGACTGAGCATGCGACTAGCATACTCCGCGCGTTCCGAACCCTCCGGGTACCAAGTACACGACAGCGGTTGAGGGCCATTGGGAAAGGGGTTCTTGTGAAAGATGAGCCATTCGCAGCCGCCGGCGACGCGACCGGTTTCGGTATCAATCACATAGATGAGATGGGAGGCAGGATTCTTCTCATGGGCGGCCCAGCGGATTTTCGTGTCGAGGGCTTTGTCTTTTACGCGGTCTTCTGCGGTGTGGCCGCTTACGGGGTGGACGGCGGTGAATACTGGGCTGTTGATTGTGATGGTGGTGCGACCGGCGAGATTAGTTTGAAACTCTACTACTGTACGGGGATGGGAGGATAGGAGGGAGGATGGGGGGAGGAGATTAATGAAGGAAGAAGGAAGGGAAGGAATGTGTGGTGGTAAATTGCGCGCTCACTTACTTGTAAGGGTTGAAGTTGGCCGACCAGAGGACGTCGACTAGACGGGCATATTCCTCTTTGGTGTGAATTTCCCGGACTTCGAACTGCGATTTGGTCATGATGGGCTGGGCTGGCTGGACTCTTGGGAAAGGATTGATGGATGGATGATCGATTGAAACGGGGAAATTGAGGGGGCGCGCGCGGGATGAGGGGAAACAACAAGAGAAAGAGAAAAAAAGTATCTGACTTGACTAATAGAGAGTAGTGAATGGAAAATAGATTAGTTAGATTAGTTATCCTCCCTAAATTATCTACCAACTAATGAACTAATTTAGTAGCCGGAAGCCGATGTTACCCTGTCACGGACGGACTAAATGAATCCCTCTTTTAAATTAGAAAAAAGTAGTGCTATGGTATAAGGTAGACTATTTTAGGGCGACGCCACTGGTAAGTAGGGGAAAAGTCCCTGATTCAAGTGGAAAATTGCGCCATTTCCCGAGCTGTTAGTGAGTCAAAAGCATCCAACTAAATCTCGGCTAGCGGGCCCTTGTAGTGCTTCCGCGCCCATCCCACATAGTACACGATACTGATGAGGGTAACTCCCGCGAAAATGACAATGCTGTAGTTAATATTCTTGGGAGCAGGGTGGTTCTCCGGTGGCCAGCATCCGAAGAACATCATGATGATGGAGTAGGCAATGGCAAAGATGTTATTTGCCGTGCCCAACCACCCTTTGACTCGGAAGGGCCCCCAGTTGAGGACACCGCCGCCTTGACCCGGCTCGGTGAGGTCGCCGCGCAATCTACGATAGAGCAGGAGAGTCAGAGAGATCATGTACGAGGCAAAGAAGGCCTCCAGGACCAGCGACAGAATGATGTTCAGCACCACTGCCGACCCGATGTTAATCAGGCTGAGCAGACCGGCCGCGATAACCACCACCAACGTGCTGTGGAAGGGCACTAGAGTCCGTTGGTTCACCTGTAGATAAGAGCGATCGCAATTAGTATAGTCCTTAACAAAATAATCTGAGGGCGAAGAGAGGCTAGGCCTATCACTTACCTGTCGCACCCAGCGCCAGCCGGGAATGGCCTGCTCGCGGGAGAATGACCACAGCATACGACTGCCGGAAGAGATACCCGCGAGTCCTGCACACGCTTGCAGAATAGCCATCATACTGGAAAGAACAACCGCAGCACCCTTACTGCCCGTCGAGCTCGCCAGCATGTACATGAAGGGATACGAGGCACTGGATTCCACAATTTTCAGCAGGTCTCCGGCGGTGAAGAGGAAGGCAATCAGAATGGCAAAGCCAGTTGCGCCGTTGATCATGAGGGCCAGCAGCATAGAACGGGGGACCACCCGACTGCTGTTGGCGACTTCTTCGGCCATCTGTAAGGGGTTAGTTTGGCAACTGACTCAAACAGCGGCTAAACACCGAGAAGGAAGCACTTACATGAACCGCGCCATCAGTGCCTAGTGAACACAAAACCCGAGTCAGTATATCATGTTGAAGTTGATTAGACGCGAAAAGTCTGCCTTACCAACAAACGCAGCCACGGTGCCTTTTAACCCGATAAAGGTAGCCAAGGTCAGATCACCCCAGCCGCCATAATCGAAGGATACAGTAAAGATCGATCGCGGATCGGCCTTGGGCCCCAGATAGACGAGCGGAACCAAGACGGCGAAGAAGCCAAGCACATGGACAAGAAGGATAAGCACTTCAATGACCGGTAGGATCATCCCCAGCCAAGTATTGAGAACTGTGCAGACGAGCAGAATCGCCCACATGATCAGCGTGATGTGCCATCCTTTGGGATCATAGCTGGGGATGTTCATGGCAATGGTGCTCTGCAGCACACTGGCGGCCAGGTAGATGGCGGCTGTGGGGGCCGCTGTCCACGCAATAATGCAGACCGAGCCTGGATTTTTCCTTGCGTTAGCAAATTCGGACCGCGGTTCGCATACTCGGCACATGGAGTCGCACACATACCAGTGACATGACTGAGAAACTTCCTGGCCGACCTGGGGGCCAAGATGCTCACCCAATGATATTGTCCGCCCGCCTGTGGTGAGAAATCAGGCTCATTCTCAGCTGCAGGAAGTGTCGGACACATACCGACGGCATCATGCTTGCTAGCTCCCCCATCGAAATGAACACGGAAATGATGCCCGCCCAGACCCCAAGAAAGCCATACACCAAACCGGCGGGACCGCCACTGCACGAGGGTTAACAAACATGATTCTTCAGAGGTAAGCTCATTCCATGGTAGGCCTTACTTGGTGAGTCCCAAGCCAATGTTCCTAATTATCCCTATTAGCATGTAGAGTTCTGACGGGATAAACAGCAAGGGGGGAGTGGGGAAACAGAAAGAGGGGTAAAAGAAGGAAAAAAAAAGAATATTAAAAAAACATCGCATACATTATAACCGCTTCCCAAGTCAGCATCAAGCTGCAGGCAAACCCGACAGTACTCGTTAGACCAAATCGTCGCTAGCAAGGGTAGATCTCAGCGGCTGATGGTAGTAGAATCTCGGGGACAACGTGTGTGTTGGTTACCTTCAGCACCTCCTTCTTTCCGACCCTGGCCAGCTCGTAAGCATCGTTACTAAAGGTAGCCTTGCTCGGCGTGCCAGAATCCCGGTTCGTTGGAGCACGCAGCTCGATCGAATGTTCAACATCGCTGTTCCTGGCCATTTTGGGAACTCGTCACGACCAGTCCAAGACGCAGGCAACTAGACAAGTAAGAGAAGGTGTGATTTCGAAGGCATGGATTTTAAGAAACTGATTCGGAGTCATTTTATGCAAGCGCGGCCGGATAAAATCCAACGTAGACGGTAAACCCTGCAGGATTGCCACACACAGTCCTGCCATTAGACCAATTATCGGCTGGATTACCCGAAGAAGCAAAGGGTCCCTCTGCGTTATCAGCTGCAGAAAGTATCGTGCGATGATTGGGGGCCAGATGCATTGTAAGTTGGGGGCCGTTATTTCAATATCTGAAGGATGGCTGAGTGTGAGGAAACGAAATTGCATCCCCAGTGTTCTAGTAGTCTAGCCTATCGAGAAATGTTCAACTACTACTAAATTAGACGATCTTGGCTGCCGCGTGTCTCATATGGGCGTAAATTGAAATTGGAACGCGACCAAGCGACTCCGGAAGGAAGAGAGAAAGGAATGAAGGCTGGCAAGCAGGGGGGTGGAGTTGAAAGTGGAGAAGTAGACAGGGAGGGGGGGGGTGTGCACCACCAGTCCACCACCACAACAATAGGACCATCCAACGTCAGCCCTAGTCTATTAGCTGTCCATCTTGTTCGGGTTGGCCGGGAAAGCCCACCCACCACCACTATGTATCACGAACACAGCACAAAACCAAGAAGCATATTAGCCAAGGCAGCTCGGCTACTCAAGCAGTCTTGGCCATAAGCAGTAAGACCGAGACAGCCAACCGTCTCACATGTATTGACTGGTGTTTCCCCATTAGGGTTAGATATTCCTGCAGTGTGCAGAGAGGGCGGCCGCTAGAGAATCCAGGCGGAGGGGCGCAAAGCCATAGTGCGACGCTTATAGGCCGACGGCCTTGGCGATCATCGGGCCTCCCCGACTAAACTTTCCGGGCGGCACGCGCCAGCCCCAGTAGTATCCAGTGGGATCCAGTCTTATCCAGCGTATCCTGTCGCTCCTGTGTGTCTCCAGTGCGACCCGTGCTCCATCTCCGCTCGTGCAGAGCATGTTTGCTTGCTGGGCTGTGTATGGGGCTGTTCACGCACTGCTCACAAGTAGGATCTGCCTTCTCTTCAGCCAGCGGTCTTATTTACCTTATATGCCTAAAATCGTTCAATCACGATCAGTTTCGTAGCCAGCCAAAATCCTTCACTACCTGTGCCTTGGAATCCGATTCGGTACCATGAAGGTTATTTTGTTTCACGCCTGAAAGTCATGACAGACCATTCTGCAGCAGTCAAGGTCGTGACATGCTTCCTCCTCATCGTCTCCTTCATCGCTGTCGTAGCCTGTTTGACGACAAACTGGCAGGTTTTGAGGAGGAAGGTGTCTAGTGTGACGCTCCTTTTGAGCACTTTGGTTAGCTAGCTCTCTCAGATAATTTGTTTGCTTCATGCCATCTGTATAGTAATACTGACTGTCACTAGATCGCATCAATTGCCTCCGGGGCAGCTGTATCCGTCGCTGCTACTCATGGCTTGGGACAAGCTTCCCCTCTCTCAGGTGACCAGGTGGTCGTCATGCAGAAGGCCCTCTATTCCATGGAGGTGCTGTATGTTTTGACGCTGGGACTGGGAAAGCTGTCTGTCATGGTTCTCTTCTACAGTCTGCTCTCGTCGACAGGCCAGTCGAAGTCTGTCCTGGCAGCGACAGGTCTACTTTTGATATGGGTTGTGGTGATGGCCATCGTGGTATGCCTACAATGTCATCCACCCGAAGTCTGGAACATCGTCGGCGGGAAGTGTCTTGACGTGGTGAGTAGAATACGATGTGTTAGCCCGGCTACGAAAAATTTGCTAATGTCTTCAAGTCCGGAATTTGGATAGCATTCGGGGTCATGAACGTCTTGGTCGAGATTATGATTATCGCAGTCCCATCCTTCATCATCTTCCGCCTGCAACTGAGTCTGAAAAGACGTTTGGTGGTAATAAGCTGCTTCGGTATCCGAATCCTGTATGTCGCAATACTTTACCGAGATTTCGACACTTCTGACCTCTTACTAGGGATATCGCGGGCAGTATTGTGCAGCTGTGCTACGTCCGTAATTTCAAGCTCCACGCCGACTCTCCTCTACCGAACAATGTCTGGCAATGGGCGATTTGTAGTCAAGTGCTTCAAACGGTGGCTATCTTATCTGCCTGTGTGCCATACCTTCGAGAATTCCTGGAGTCGTTCCCCAGTGGTATGTTCAAGCCGACTGAGCTCAAACATCCTACGGTGCAGTCGGCATACAATGCGACCAAGTGTTCGGACAGTGATATAGAATTAATGAGACCGGAATCGACAAAAGATACTTAGTTAATCAACTTGAATTTCGCAACTCAATACATAAATCTTTCCATTGTATCATTTATTCTTTGTAATGTCCCGCTTAACCGTTTACTTGCTGATGGCGGCAACGGTCAGCTCGTCCATCTGACGGACGTTGGCGTCAGCAGCGGCACGCTCGACGTTGTTGGTGGTAGGTAGGGCGAGAGCCACGGCCGAGAAGGCGACGAGGACGAGAGTAGCGACACGCATTTTGTGAGATGTGGGATGTTTTGAGATGGTCGGTCTCGAAGTGGAGGCAGGAGTCTGTCACAGAGCTATGTTAACCCGAAGGACGCTGCAGAATGGTGTCCCCCAAGATGAGGTGAGCATACCTTTTGTGGTAGGAGGATTAGAAGTGTGAGACTTGAAGACTTGAGGATTTGCTGCTGAATGAACGAGGAGCGAGGGGGGATTTGAGGGGATTACATATGAACCAGCGGCGGAGGACCGGCAAGGTCCGAAGACAATTGATCCGGTGGGATAGAAGCAGGCCGTCACATAGTGGAGCCTCAGATAGCGAAGGATTACCTGTTTGCGACGCTACTATCAACCGGTGTGCCGTGCTGACCAGCCTTGCATTAGCTTGAGCTCTTCTATGCAATGTGAACCCACATCGCCGACAGCCCCATTGCCGGCATCGCATGATGTGTTCCGGAGCCGACGTTCCATCAGAAATGTGACAAATGTGACAAGGGCTCGGTGTTTAAAACCTGAGCATTGCGTTGACCCCCGACGCCCCTCCGGCTGTCAAACCCCTCCATGTTCATTCCCCCCTCTCACAATGTATTCCTACGAGAAAGTCAACCGTGACGACGACAGTGACCAGGGGCTTCTGGCTGAGGACTCGGAGAGAGTCGCACCTCAGCCCAGAGCCTCCAGATTACCCACCTGGACGAACGCTTTGCTGCTCTTGGGACTGTTGTTTTCGCTCTCACTGAACGTGGGATGGTTTGTGTTCCAGAAGGGTCACAATGTCCCCATTCAGGACTTGGATCCTGATGCGGCCATGGCTAAGCAGCGGTCTCCTTACAGTACGTACTTATCTCACAAGCCTCAACATGAAGTTTCATCTCTAACATTGCTTCCTATGACCAGCCGGTCTCGCATGGGATACTCACCTGCCTTACTCCCACCACTCCGAGTATACTAGCGAGAACAAGACACATGCGGATGAGATGTGGGAGAACCTGAGCATGGACCCCATGGTTATTGCCCCCACCTGGGAATGGGCTCAGAGCAAGGGTCTGTCGGACTCTTGGGCTTTCCCTTGGGATTCGAACCGAAGGATCTACTTCGTCAAGGTGTTCCATCAACTCCACTGTCTGGTGAGTAACCGTCGCAGCATTTCATACTCGGGGTAGACGCTGACACTCTACTTTTCTCTACTAGAAACTTATGCGCCACTCTTACCATGAACTCTGGTCCGGACAAGAGAGCTCGATCCCCGCTCCTCATATCGAACACTGCCTCGATTCCCTGCGACAGGATCTGATGTGCAAGGCCGATGATACCCCCATGCCATCTCTTCAGCTGCTGAATGGTGGTGGAGAAGGCCAATTGATGCAATGCAAGGACTTTGATAAGCTGGTAGCCTGGTCGAAGGCACCGGAACGCAATGCCTGCTACAAGCGACTGACCGACTACAAGCCGATCGTCCATAGCATTGAGCGCTACGCTTTCTGTCCTGCGGATAGTGAGCACTACCCGACAATGAGCAAGTATTTCGAGGAACACGGGCATTATGCCGATCCTTTTTCGGAATAGACAAGGGCGAGGCTGATTTGGTTCGGCTGGGGAAGAGGGTGAGAAACTAGCCAAGAAGGGCAGCCGAGAGGAGGGGAAAAGGGACTTTTAGCGCAGAAAACCCTAGTCAGCACCTAATTTAGCTTATTTAGCTTCAATGCAATTAAGAAAGTAGCAACGTTTAGTGGCCAGTAAATCTGCAAGCCCCCCTGCAAGCCCACTGGGGGCCAAACAGTACCACCTTCTGTTTTCTGTTAGTCCATTAGCCTGGTCTGAGTGGACAAAGTACTTTATCTGCTTATCTGCTTACTGTCAAAGGAGCATCAAGCCTGATCAGCCTCAGTCTGAGCGCAAACCCTTTGCTCGTCCGATCTTCCCCTCCATTCCTTTCATCCCGTTCCTTTTTTTTAATCACACATCGGCTCCTCCCTTTCATCTTCAGTCTTCCTTCCCATTCCATTAACTTTTGAATCATCATCCCTACCTTCTCATTGGCGGTTACTAAACCAGTCCAAAATGGATGAGGAAGATGGCCATTGCAAAGAAACCGAGGTCACCGTCCAGTCGACGAGCCCCGTGGACTCGGCCGATTATGATCCTTTTGACCCCCAAACCCGCTCCACCACGTACAAGTGGATCACCGTCGTCCTTGTCGCGGGATTATCAACCATGGTGTAAGCTTAAACTCCCATCAATAAACTCAATGTCAAGGTGTCTGACAGTTGCGCCCGGGAAAGTCAGTTGTCCACCATCATAGCAGCCCCCGTATCCCCGTCTATTCTGTCTCATTTCCATTCCGACAATGCCCTCTACCGTACCCTCATTGTTTCCATCTGGGAACTCGGAGAAATCATAGCGCCATTGCTATGGGGACCGCTTTCTGAGCTGTATGGCCGACAATGGCCTCTGAATATTGCCAATCTCTTCTTTGTGGCCTTTTTGGCTGGAACTGCTGCCAGTACTAGTATCCAGATGCTGATTGCCTTCCGGTTTTTGAGTGGTGCGGCGACCGCAGCTTCAGCCATCGGTCCTGGCATTGTTAGCGATCTTTTCCCCGAGGAAAATCGCGGACGTGCCATGTCCATTATGTCCTTGACCGGTGCATTGGGACCAGTCGTAGGTCCTATCATTGGTTCCTATCTGGGTGAAAAGGCCGGGTGGCGATGGGCTTTCTGGTTACCGACTATTGCGACTGGGACTCTGTCCCTGCTCATTCTTGTCGTGTACCGTGAAACATACAGCGTCACTCTCCAGAAACGCAAAGCCAAACAGCAGGGTCTCGAAGGTGGCACTGAAAGTCCCGAAGATACAGAAAAGACAGCTAGCCACGTATTTTTTAAGACTATCCTCCGGCCACTCCGTCTGCTCATCCGGTCTCCCATGCTAATACTGGTTACCCTGTATCTCAGCGTGGTCTATGGTTACACCTACCTGGTGATGACAACCATTGCAACACTGTTCCAGGATGTGTACGGCTTCTCCGAAGGAGCATCCGGTCTAGCCTTCCTAGGACTGTGTCTTGGGCTCATTCTCGGGGCCTTCCTGTGCAGCTTCCTGCTAGACCGCTATGTGCGCACAGCCCGGGCACGGTCCGGCACTTCCAAGCCAGAGCAGCGCCTGCCCCCTGTCCTGATCGCATGCTTCATCATGTCAGGTGGCCTTTTCCTTTTTGGCTGGACTGCGCAGTACCATGTGCAATGGATTGCGCCAATTATTGGCACGGGCATCATTGGGTTTGGGCTGGTGTCTACCACCATCACTTTGCAAACTTACGTCGTGGACCTCTTCGGCATCTACGCCGCGAGTGCTACCAGCGCAATGCTGGTTCCCAGAAATGCCTGCGCCGCATTCCTGCCCCTTGCAGGACCACCACTGTTCAAGCACCTTGGATATAACTGGGGCGGAACACTTTTGGCGCTGATTGTTTTGGTGTTCTCGTTGATGCCCTTGATCTTTATCAAGTATGGCGAGAGACTGCGGGGAAAGAATTTGCTAGATGCTTGAGATGTCGATGGTGTTTGTATATTATGTTTAGTATGACAAAAGCATGAACAATGATAGTAATGATGTTGTTTGGGATTGATCCCACTTTCGCAGTTCTTCCCTGTTTTCGACGAGCAAGTCACGTTATCCTTCTGCACGGTCGCAAATGAGGCTGTGCTCCTAGGGCATCGATACAGATACCCTTCTTGGACTCGAGGATGATGCCATGCCCAAAGTCTAACCCTACAGCAATGATGCTAGTTGGTGCCCTGTAGGCAGCAGGATTGTGATTCCCGCAGCCATCCGTGACGCTCCACCTTCCAAGCTTCTGACAGGTCCGTGCCAACTCATGATCCTTCCGATTGACCGCGGATAAGTATATAATGCACTGGAGGCGCAGTTCCAGACCAATGGAACGTCTTGTTGATACCTGTGCTTTGACAATATTATATGACATGTCGATCGAAGCTCTTGTTGGTACCCGAAGGAGTATGGTTTGCCGTTACCATGGGTAAGGCTGTGAACTGCCTCAATTCCTATTTATTGATCGAGGCGGTTAGACCACTAGCTATGCAGATCTGCTCAGCCCAAGTGGATTTAGTTGATCGTGGCGCCTTCACTGTGGATACGAGACAACGAATCGCAGACTCCGGAAGCCCGTGGCTGGTGAAGTTGCCCGCAATATGCGCAGCAGATAGTTCTTTTTGCTTCCCTGTTTAAAGGCTTCAGCTGCGCTGGGACGTTACTGCCATTCATACTACTCTCCAGGGCTGAATATGACGCACTGCTACGGAGTACTGCATACTTGTTTAGGAAGGCCTTGCGGGGGACCGATCACAGCGAGGTTGAATGGATGGCACTGAATGCTACATGCGATACAGACAACAACACCTCGATCTGAATATGGTATCCAGGATGTTGAACGCACATATTTATGTGTATATAATGGTCTGTATATTCGAGTCTGAAAGTCCAACTTTAGCAGCATTCTATATTCTCTTTCAGTCTCGGAAACATCGTTGCAATGCTACCGCTTCTAATCTCAGCAGCAGCTGCCACTCTTGCCTCTGCCCTGGAACTTCCCCAAGGTTATGCGCCAGATCCTGTCTCCTGCCCAACAAGTTTACAATGGATCCGACCGGCAGTTGGACTCAGCAGAGATGAATTGGAATGGGTCGAAGGGCGCAAGAAGGTCGTTCTGGGCTCACTAGAGGCATATCTGGAACAACTCAACCTGGACGACTTTGACTCAGATGAATACATCTCGCGTCTCAACTACACCAACCAAACCCCAGTTATGGGAATGGCCATCAGCGGCGGAGGTTTCGGGTCCGCCTTCACCGGGACAGGTCTAATCCGTGCTTTGGATGACCGTCTTCCCGCAGCCAACGAGCAACGTACAGGCGGACTTTTGCAAAGCATGACCTACCTATCCGGTCTGTCCGGAGGATCCTGGCCGGCAGTGTCCTTCCCATCATACAACTTCCCTACTGTAGACGATATTGTCGATTACTGGAAACCGGAGATTGACCGTTTCCTCACAGTCACAAACACCTCTGCTGAAGCTGCCACCGAGGTTGTCATGTTCGAACAGATTGCTGCAAAGCACATGGCTGGCTTCGAGATAGGTATAAGTGATTATCTGGGGCGGGGGTTCGCGTACGAGTTCATACCCGGACAATCCGGGGGCCTGAACACCACGTTTTCGGGGATAAGGAATCTGAGCAACTTTATCAATCACCAAATGCCGATGCCTATCATCCACCTGGCTTCAGTTGAGCCGGAAGATGCTGAGTACTACGACCTTTTGGTACCGTCATCTAATGGGACGATTGTAAGTAACGGCCCCTTCTCAATAAACTACCAGCTCCAAGCTAATCCGGTTAGTTTGACTTGACACCCTTCGAATTTGGCGCCTGGGACGGAGATGTGCATGCATTCACACCTACTGAGTGGCTCGGAAACCAGCTGTCCAACGGAATCCCAGTTAATTCAAGTACATGCTGGAAAGGATTTGATCGATCCTCGTAAGCACCTTGGAGTCTTTAGACTCGCACACTTCTAAATATATCCTAGACTGGTCATCGGCACTTCCGCCGGCGCCTTCAACTTCTGGTATCTCGAAAGCGTCTCCAACGGAACCCTCGGCCAATTTGCCAAACGTTCCACCACCCACAAGTCCTCTCTTGCCAAACGACTCAGCAAACCCGCCAACCTGAACGGACTCGTCGAAGCGTTTGCCGACACCTTCGATCTAAACCTAACAGAAGTTGCCTACTCAACATTCCCCAACCCATTCACCAACCTCTCCCTCTCCACCGGCAACGCTCACACATCCTCAACCCTAAACCTCGTCGACGGCAGCGAAACAGGTCAAACGATCCCGCTCTGGGGTCAAATCCAGCCTGCACGCAACGTCGACTTTATCATAGCTTGGGACGACTCCCAAGACGCAGACCCATACTCCTGGAACAATGGCACAAACCTCTACAACACATACCTCGCCGCCAACGCAACAGGACTTCCCTTTCCCGTAATTCCACCCTCCAAGACAATGGTGAACCTGAACTACACACTCCACCCACAATTCTTCGGCTGCGATGCGAACCTCACTACCACAGGCGACGATCGTGCCCCGATTGTGCTGTACATGGCCAATGCGCCGTATAGCGCATACACGAACTTCTCGTTCTGGCAGACGGCGACGAGTCGCGAGCAGATGGAGGACATCTTCATCAATAGTTTCGACATTGTGACGCAAGCGAATGGATCGTGGGATGGGGAGTGGGCGGAGTGTATCGGGTGTGCGGCTGTGGAGAGGAGTTTGAAGAGGGTAGGGATGGAGAGGACCAGGCAGTGTGAGCGGTGCTTTGAGAGGTATTGTTGGGATGGGGAGCTGGATGAGAGGGAGCTGATTGAGATGGATCCGGGAGTTTTGGACCCAACGTTGATTTTGAATCCGGGGGTGGGGTTTGAGGTGTGGAATGCTACGAATCCTTATTGATTGTCGCCATGATTGGGGTTTGGCTGAAAGCTGGCAGGGAGGCAGTTTGCTATTAAGGCATTATGATTTAAGATGTGATGATTTGTCATGACTACTATATAGACCAAAATGATATGATACTGCTAGTTGGAGGGAGTCCTATCATAATTGTTCGGATAATAACTCTCTGTATCTTCATCATGCGACAACTATAGACATCTAGCTACAGACGCATCACAACCTTCCCAACCTGCTTACCCTGCCAAACATACTTAACAGCCTCTTCGGCTTGCTCAAACGGAAACACTTTATCAATAAGGTCATCGAGCTGCGTCTGCGAAGCCGACAGTGCCTCACAAAAGTCCTCCATATCAATCTTCGAGCCCGCGTTGATACCCCTTTGCAGGTCAGCAAACCTTTCCCATTTCCACTACCTCGCACAACACTCACCTAAGATTGATCCTCCGATCAATAAGAGTCGGCACCAACTCTCGCAGCTCAGACGGATCCTGCTTCCCAAGATATCCCACCTGACTGACCACCCCGCCACGACGAGTGCATCGCATACTCTTGACAAGGGATCCCGTTCCGCCATTCTCCACCACCAAGTCCACACCGACACCATCAGTAAGCTTCAACACTTTATCATCCCACTCCGGTGTGTCCTTATAATTAACCGTCAAAATAGCAGAATCAGAATACTTCTCCTTAATAGCTTGAAGTTTCGCATCACTCGACGAAGTCAGAATCACACGCAGACCAGCTGCAAGCGCTAACTTCAGCGCAAACATGCTGACGCCCCCGGTCCCTAAAATCTTTCGTCAAACTCAAATCAAACCACTACACTTAGAATGAAAACTCACCCTGCACCAAAACCGTCTGCCCAATCCTCATCCCCTTCAATGCCGACCACGCCGTAACCCCCGCACAAGGAATCATCGACGCCTGCACCCAATCCAAGTAAGTCGGAAGTTTACACAGCACACTCTCATCATAAACGATGTAATCCGCCATCACCCCATCTTCATCAGCAGCCAGCCACGACCGCTTCGTCGCACGCTCTGTAATCTGCTCGGTGTCTGTGATCGGCGCCGCGCGATCCCCAACAACCAGGCTCTTCACTTTGTCCCCGGTGGCTATGACTTCTCCGGCGGCGTCGTTGCCCAGGATCCCGTGGGGGAGAACGGGCCATGGGTTTCCGCCGTTGGCGATGTTGGCGTCGCGGTAGTTGAGAGCCACGGCGTGGACCCGGATTAGGACTGCTGTGGGGGATAAGGGGAGGGGAAGTGGCTCTGTTACGATGTTCACTTTGGGGGTGTTCGGGGTGTAGTCGTCTGTTCGGCGGACGGCGCGACGGTGGGTGATTTGTGTGGGGGGCATCTTGCTTGGTGGTATCAATGTGGATGGAGTAACTATGGAAGAACTGTTGATTGTTTGTATAGGTTCATGCTTTTGTCAGTTGTTATATTGTTATATACCCCGCGTTCTGGATGTTTTGTTGCTGTGGTTCGGATGGGACAGCCGAGCCGATGGGAGAAAGGGCTTGTGAATCCATGGGGTTTCCGAGATCCGACATCCGAGACAATACTCGGGTTGATAGGATAGCCATTGTTCGGGTTCACAATAAAAGGCTAAATACAAGGAGATTCATTGCTCATGAACAGCTACTTATGATTTCTAATCTTCCAGGGATCGGGGTTTATGTGTACTTTTGAGCCGTCCCGCGGCATACCCGGACAGTTCTCATGTCTTCCGCCAGATCAACACCCCCAAACTCCGCGTTCTCAATTCCATGCAGCATTATATTTATGGCCTTGACGTCAATTGCTATATAATCCTTATGATAATGCCATATTATGATAAGTATCTCCTCGGAGTCCAGCATTCTGTCCGGTTTCTGGAAGTTCCAGACTATCGTCATTTCCACGTTAACTGGTAATTAGTGTAGCCGGGATGATATACCAATGATGTAATAGTGGCCATTTCCAGATACAACAATCAGTATATAGCCACCACCTTTGCCAAGCATACATTAGTATTCCTATCATCAAGATCATATTCACATAAACAAAACACGAGTCTTAATCAATTTAGAACACATCACTTACCACTCTCAATACCCTCCACCTATTACAGTAATCCCACCGCTACCCATCATGGCCGACCAACCCCCCATGGGCCGCGACTTCATCGACGCAAAGAACGTCGACCCTATCGACCACAATGACCAAACCGACCCCGAAGACTCCGCTAGTCAGCCTCGTTTCCCCGGCCCCGGTTCGAGCACAACTGCCCCTTCTACTTCGAAGCCGCATTCGAACAAGTTGTTGAACAAGCTGGATCCGCGATACGACAGTGATGTTTTGGAGTCGGAGAAGCAGGAGAAGGAGAAGGTGCAGCGGAGGGGATGGGATTAATCCTGCTTTGATACTTGATATGTCAAGATAGATGGGAGGGAGAGAGGAGGATGATGGCTTATGATCATGTATACATGTTTTCGAATTCCGGAGAGAGATGATCTCCGTGATAATATTATGCTCACAAATTATGATACTCTGGTTATATATTGTACAATATATGAAGGAAAAGTACGAAACAGCTCAAGTTATGAAGGATAGAAATCACGCCCCATTAATAATTTCGTTGGCGATCTTCTCCGCGAGCATATCTGGTCCGCGTCAGCATCTGATCCTCATCAAACCACAAGGTAAGAGGTATAACTTACAGACGGTAGACTGAGGGTGTCCCGGCGGCAAGAACGGGAATGCAGACGCATCCACAACTCTCACACCCTGGACTCCATACACCCTAGCCTGACTATCCACCACCGCCATCTCATCGTCAGACGTGCCCATCTTGCACGTACAAGCGGCATGCCAGAGCGTCATGACGTTATCCTTGATCCACTGGAGGATCTGCTCGTCCGACTGTACTTTCAGACCGGGGTTGTATTCCTTGCCAATGATGACTGGCGCCATGGCCTTGCTCTGGAAGGCCGCGCGAACACGCTTGAACATGGCGATAGCGACTTCCTGGTCGGACTGAGTGGCGAGCCAGTTGGGGTTGATGACGGGAAGGTCATCGGTGTCAGCAGAGCGAAGCGTAATATTGCCGCGGGAGGTCGGGGTGATGAGTACCGCCAGCATGGAGGCGTATTGGTAGCCGTCTTCGGGCTGGGTAGTGAGTAGATTAGACACGTTGCCCATGTATCCGGCACCGGAGATGTACTAGATTGCATTAGCTTGTCTGTAGTATGAAGCACGCATACAATTATTCACATACCTCGGCTTCAGGCCAGTCACTCGGGAAGGAAGCCAGTTGCTTGGTAGTCTGGCTGCTAAAGGCACTACGCAGGGCCGCCGGGATCTTCTCCCAGGCGAGGTAGTCCGAGATAGGGTTGGTAAGTGGGCCGTTGCCGAAGCCGACCATGTTGATGAACTGGCCGACGATGCCTAGGAAGTCATTGGCGATCGCGGTGAAGGTCTGCACGTTGACACGATACGAAGGCGCAAAGAACGGGTGATCCCACATGTTCTGACCCACGCCCGGACGGTTAGCCACGACCTGAATGCCGTGTTCCTCGAGCTGGTCTTGCGGACCAACTCCAGACACCATGAGCAGCTGGGGAGACTGGAAGGCTCCCGCGGAGACGATGACTTCGTGGTTTGCCTTGATGGTGAAGATGTTACCCATGGAGCCCTTGACCTGCACGCCAGTTGCCTGTTTCTGGTTGTTGAAGATGATCTTCTTAGCCAGGGTGTTTGCGTACGTGGTCAGTGTCGACGGTTTGTTCGCAAGGAATGACTCCTCGGAACTACTCCGGATCTCGCCGCTGGGGTCGATGGTTGATGCGCAGTACTGGCCGCCCATCAATGAGCCAAGGTTGAAGTCCTGTGTCTCGTTGATGCCAATGGCTTTCATGCCGAGGTCCATCCATGTCGAAAAGGGCATCGCGTAGTTCGCGTACGACACCTTCAGCGGACCACCAGTGGATTCATACGCGCTGGCATCATAGCCAGCGGTGGCATTCTTGGCCCGGATTTGAGTGTTAGGGGGAGTGAATTTCACACTGGCCTTGTAGAAGGGCAGCGTCTGGTCGAAGGTGTAGCTGCTGTCATTGACGGCAGTGGCCCATTGCTCCATGGACTCGATGGTCGGCCTAGCAGATCGTTAGTGGGATCCTTTCTAAACTGTTTCTGAGCAGGAACACAAACCGTTGATAAATCATGAAGTTCATCGCGGAGCTGTACATGCGTTAGCTTTGTCCCTTCCGAACAATATGCGACACCTACGATCCACCCCAGCATTTCCCCCGAGCATAGTGAGTGGACCGGCCATTCGCACCGGGGACGTTCTCTGCGACAAATCCCCAGTCGTGCGCAGCAGCTGTTTCTGGATCCGACCCAACTGGTAGCACGTCCGCAGCAGGCACCTCGGCCACCGACTCGAGTTCATATGATCCTCCAGCCTCGATCACTGCCACTTTGAAATTCTTCTGCGCCAGTCGAGTTGCAATAGTGTTTCCACCTGTACCTCCACCAATGACCACATAATCGAATTCCGCATCACCAAACAGGCCACGCTCGTCATGGTTGTGCGAAAGAGTGTCGGGGTTGGCAATGGTCGCGGTGACCATGCACTGTAAAGCGAGTGACAAGAGAACATGACGGATCATCTTAGAGCATTAGTATCACGACATAAAGCGCTGTGAAGGGACTTACAATGAGTGAATCCGAAGGGAGCGACTAGGATGGACACGAAAAGAACGACGCGCTTGACAGGGAATGGTGTACATTCCGTCGGCGTCAGGGGTTAAGTATGCTGCATGATCCCCCTTCGGTCCGACCAAGCTGAGATGCTACCTATTATTTCGAACTAGGTTTCACCTGTCTGGCCCCTGTCTGGATGTAAGTTTACAATCACAACGGAGCTCACGGACATATGGTTCATGATGCCAACATGGGGCCAGGGTGAAACGGCCATCCGGTCGGGTGGAGATCCCCCGGTCGGAGATGCGGTTCAATCAGGTATGGCCGCCTCATTTATCGGGCGGGCGAGCGCAAATTTGGGTCACCCACATGGATTTCTCCCAGCAATAAATAGCATAGCTCAAAACCTAATGTTTGTTTGCTCCTGAGTTCTGGTTATGTTTGACCTACTGCGTTGTTTGTTTTCTTTCGGTCGAATGATGTGTTAGGGTTCAGCGGTCCTCCGTTATAACAGCTCTCTTGCATCGCATTACCGTCTGTTCCGAGCGAATATCTTGAGATGAGGATCGTCTGCAATACCATGATTGAGATGGTAATCTCCTCTTCTATTCTTTCTGGCTACTAGGTTGGCTGTACACCAACCCAATGACTGAAATATCAGGCGTGTATGTCACTCGTTTACCCCTGGCTAGATGAATTTCCCGTATCCCTTCTGGTGACAATTCAGGGCCACGTACAATGACCTCTAGACGTGTGTTGAATGATCGTAGATATACTATGAGTCTTGTAAGTGAGGATGTAAAAAAAGTAGGATAAGTCGTGCTATTGATGCGTTGGTGGCGCCTACACTTTGTTTATGCATAAACCAACGTGTTATAGGCCCACACTTCGGTACAGTCGAGTAAAAGTACTTTTAGATCAACCACAGTTCACCAGGTATGGGCACAATTCGACAAATTTCGCTAGACTTCGAGATTTACCCCTACGGACTGCTTTTACCAGTTTCAGCAGCGTCATGTTCAGGTGGTTGCCAGTTGCCAATCCCGAGGCCGTTGCCCAGATTTCCCAATGCGGCAATGGTCGCGAACCACTCTGCTGCAAGCTACAACTTCGAGTCGCTGTCACATCTTTCCCAACACCATCATTAACTGGCCTGTCTTCAAAATACTATTTCGATTTCTTCCGATGCATACTCGGGATGTAATTTCCTTCACGGATCTGATCAACCATACAGGTGTTCTCACGAGCAAGCAATAGGCACCATTGTCCAGGATGATTCCTGATGACTATGACAGACTGTAGCAGACCCTGGAAGGCTGACAGGCTGACGAGATGATGCCAGCCCCAAATAGAAGCCATGTGTAACGATGAGATAAGATGACATACTGTTAAGAAACACCATCTCATCAGCCCCGTGGCAACTGGCCAAGTGGAGAGAGCAGACATCACATATCGATCAATGGCCGCAATCAGGCTTCCAAGCTGCATGCCACTTCATCCCAACATTCCAGACACAAATCCGAGGCATACCTTATCCCCAACAAGAAGCAACCTTCATGTGTCAAGGATCCTCAGTTGATTCAAGCGCTGAGCCGCTACGCCAACCAACGACGGGCCTTCTTTTCGAGTGATCTGCAAAGCCGCGGCGATTTCCCCTCGTTAAGCGGCCTAACGAACCCCAAAACTTAACCCGTTCAGAACATCCGATGCCCACATGAACCCCCCGGGATTCTCAATCACATGCGATTGGCAAGAGAAACTTGCCTATTCGCATTCGAAGATGGCCTCCCGCTGCAGTGTGAAAATCCGGCACTCCAGCAGCCCTATATAGCCCATCCCACCCCCTCCTCCCCCCCACAAGGGTATCCTCGCAAATGAGTTGACCACCACCCTGACCACCCATCATGAGCGGTACATACCCTAATCCTAAGGATTCAATGAAGTCTACCTGGCGCCGGCTGGATCGCGCCGAGTGGAGCGTCTGGCACTGGTTCTTTGAGATCCTCGGCGTCCACCCCAGCAACCTCGACAAGGAGGTCCCCGTGCATCCAAAGACCGAGAAGATTCCCTACATGAGATCATGGTCACAGCACCTCTGGATTCTCTACCACGCCATCCTCCCCCTCGCCGTCCACCACGTCTACGTCTCCTACACGGGCCACAATGTCACCGCCGTGGGCGCGTTCATCCTCTACTCTGTCGCCTTCAAGCTCATCGCCATCCACCAACTCCAAGTCATGCGCCGCATGGGCCACGTCCTCGGTTTCCTAGACGGCGACCAGCACGGCCGTGACGGCGTCCCGGACGTCGGAGTAGCCAAGGTCGTCCGGTCCCTGCTCTCGACATCAACCTTCCGACCCATCATGACCGTCTTCCTCAGCTACCGAGTCAGCCAAGCACCGGCCCAGATGAGCTGGGGCTGGCTACCACTCGAAATCGGACTATACGGCATCATCCTCGACTTCTGGTTCTACTGGTACCACCGACTGATGCACGACGTGGGCAGTCTCTGGAAATACCACCGGACGCACCACCTGACCAAGCACCCGAACCCGCTCCTAACCCTATACGCGGACACGGAGCAGGAGTTCTTCGATATCGCGGGTATCCCGCTGATGACATACTTCAGTATGAAGCTGATGGGAATGCCGATGGGGTTCTATGAGTGGTGGATCTGTCATCAGTATGTGATGTTCACGGAGTTGGCGGGCCACAGTGGATTGAGGATGCATGCGTCGCCGCCGTCAACCCTGGATTGGTTGTTGAAGTTGGTTGGGGCGGAGTTGGTGATTGAGGATCATGATTTGCATCATCGCAAGGGATGGAAGAAGAGTCATA